CATTTATTTATATATAATTAAGTCGTCTTCTTCTGGAACATCATCATAACTCTCCAAACCCCGAATTCCATCTTGAATTTCTTGAGACTCTATTTCCTTTAGAACCATTGGCCCCAATCTCTCCTGTCAAGCAATAGAGCTGTCATGGGGCAGATGAGAAGGGTTGCTCGTCTTCTTTACCACTCCGAGACGAAATGCATGGGTTGTGCAGATAGGCTGCATAGCCACACCCACCACTAGGTCTTATTTTTGGGGTAGGGCTTATATTGCGCAAATGCTTAGAAATCCGGCTAGGGCTTATTTTATAGGTAGATCTTATTTTCAGGGAAACACGGTATGTGGAATTCAGTGGATCTTAATGTCAAGGGGAGCTTAAGATGTGATTTCTTTGCTGAAAAATGGCACAACAAAATTCTTAGTTCTAAGCAGCTGGTTCACAATCTCACTGCAACATCAAGATTTTGTGATATAAATTGAGACACCGGTCTGGGTTTTCCTGAAAACACCAAAGTGCAGAGATTTGTGAGTTCTGATATTTTTCTGAAAATTGCAATAGTCCATTAGGTCTTCTTAGCCACTGCCATAAAATTCCATGCAGAAGTGGGGCACTTCGGACAGAATCTGATAAATGAGGCAGTGCTTCACTTCCCCAAGTAAGATGGGGTGTGGGAAAGTAGGTGTCTTCTTTATAAGATGGGTAATGAAGCTCTTCAATAATTGACCCTTATTCTATGTAGGGTTTGACTATGCAGGGGGAGCTATGCAGGGGGCTGAATTCTAGGGGACATTCAATGGGGGCCATTTCAGAGATGGAGAAGCCCACCAATTAATGTGGACAGGAGGATGATCTTAAGAAAGTCTGGACTGCTTTGCCTAGAGGCAGTTTGAATCTTGGGGCTAGCCTTTAGTGGCCATGTGACCTCAGATGTAGGAACAAATCCATCTGAGCCTCCATTTTCTCATTTAGGAAATGAAGTAGACCTGTCTTCATTGGTTGTCATGAGGTTAAACAACCCAAGTGCCCATCAATTCATGAGTGGATTAATAAATGTGGTATATGTATACCATGGAGTACTACTCAGCTTTAAGAAACAATGGTGATATAGCACCTCTTGTATATTCCTGGATACAGCTGGAACCCATTCTACTAAGTGAAGTATCTCAAGAATGGAAAAACCAGCACCACATGTACTCACCAGCAAATTGGTATTAATGGATCAACACCTAAGTGGACATATAGGAGTAACATTTGTCAGGTGTCGGGAGGGTGGGAGAGGGGAGGAGGGGATGGGTATATACAACCACGAGTAAGATGTGCAACATTTGGGGGATGGACACGCTTCAAGCTCTTACTCGAGGGGGAGGGGGGCATGGGCAATATATGTAACCATAACACCTGTACCCCCATAATATGCTAAAATTAAAAAATAAATAATCACTGAAAAAAAAAGTACTTGATACATAAAACGTACTCAGTCAACTGTCCTGTCTCCTTACCCATCCATTACGCTTCTGTAGTCTCCTCCCCTCCTAGGTCTAGTGTCTAATGCAGCCCTCTTGGGTCTTGAGTCTTGCATTTTTGCCAAACTGGTTCTCTGCTATGCTCTCAAGTCTCCAAAATAACTCTCTCCTTTCCTTCTCCAATAATAACCTCCCTTCTCAAAGGTGGCTAGGCTGGGTGTTGCCATTATCATCTAATTAAAGAAGCTGATGCTCCAGGTGAACCTGACAGACCGAAGCCTCCTGAGTGGTCATGGCTTTGTCCTTCCCAGTCCCCAAAGGAGCAGATCAAGGTACAGGACTCTCCAGTGGGCAGGCATAAGGTGGTGGCTGGGGCAGGTAGGCGCTTCTGGGACCCTCTCTCATTGGTGCATCCCCTCCTTTCTCCATTCATTCACTCATGCCACAAACACTCCATGAGTCCCGGGTATAGGAGCCAGGGGATGTAAAGATGAATTAGACAGTCCTGCAAGTCAGGAAGGTCAGATCTGCAAATCAGATAGGTACAAGCAGACAAGGAAACTCTGAGGCTGTTTTAATAAAGAATAGAGTATCTGGGGAATGAAGAAGAGGAGGCCTAGGTCAACAGGATTGGCTGAGTATGCCTGTCAGGAAAGATTTCTTGAAGGAGAGGGTGTCTGCGGGAAGGTTTGGGTCTTAAAAGATAAATAAATAGGCCGAGAGGTCAGCAGAAGGCCTGTTAGGTAAAGGGCCAGTATTACCGACAACAGGTCGGAGGAGACTACAGAGACAACAGAGAGAATACACAGGGTGTTTTCCAGAGAAACCCAGAAAATTACGCTGCTGGTTTGTGCAGTCGGAGAGTGCTTGAGGATGGGGCTGGCAGTGAGGCAGAGGCCTGCTGATTTTAACCCCTGGATGCGGAACCTCTAAAAGTGTCCACTGGGCAGGGAGTGGCTGATCAGATGTAACTGTTTTAAGAATTTCGCGTTAATTGAGTCATTTAATGTGGGGAGGGGTGGGGAGCTGGCGGCAGGGAGGCCGGGCAGAGGCAGGAACTGGTGGACCAGTGCGGACTGGGAGAGGGGTCGAGTGGGGCTCCCAGGAGTGGGGCTCCCCGGAAAGGGGCTTTGCGCTGGCTTGGAGCCCGTGCCACGGACTGGGCGGGCGGAGGCAGGAGGCAGCGCCGGGAGGG